ATGAACCAAATTCTGAAGATAATATTGAAGATCTACATAAAAGGCTTTGTTTGACTTTGAGGGTTTGCTGCCTTCTTATCAGTTGTTTGCACTTAACTCCATTAGATAAAGAGCAAAGGTGTGAGGCCACTGTGATCTCAACCACAGAGGAAACTGTTAAACGCAGATTCAGAAAACTTCAAGATGGTTATGTAACCGCGTGGTGTCCAGAGGAGTGATGTGTTTTCATATAGCTTTGAGCCAAGGCTGGCAGTTCGTGTAAACTGCACTCGTATCTTAAAGTTCCTAGGTTTTTTGGATAGGAATTCAGGGATCCAGGTCCATCAAGTAAGACTGCCCTTCTGTCCTTCATACGTTGTTAAATATTTAAGAGGGAGCTCTCTTACACACAGGTTGAGTATCCTCTGTCAGCCTTTGTTGTAGTAAATAGTAGCTTTATGAATTCTAAGGAAGACCATAACCCTCCTTCATAATCTGCATAATCTTCATCAGTACAAGTCAGGAAACATATTTGAAGTAAGATCATCTTTTATTATGCTCCAAGTAAGATCATCTTTTATTATGCTCCACTTCTCCAGTGACAGCCCCATGGGCTCCATGTGTGATGGCTCCCTTGCTGGCTTCCATCTGTATCACCTGGAGACAAGGGAGATCCCAGGAATCCTATTTCTCTGTCTATATCTTCCCTTCAGAAGTCAATTGGGAAGCCTAGAACTCTGTTCCCATGGAAAAATTTTCACGCCATCTTCCCTCTACCACAACACTTACAGCTTCACCACTTTGTCTCTAGAACTCTGAGGACTAATCCCATCGTGTCTTTTATCCCTATTCATATTAGCTACCACCAGAGCCCAAGGACTCACAGCTCGTTTCTTATTTCTAGAACCCTAATCACAGGTATCTCCATAAGCCCTTGGTTTTGACTAAGTGTCCCATTTTCTGGAATTCACAGTCAGTCATTATGAAAATTGCCTATATATATATTTATTTTCGTAACTGATCAAAACCTAGCTGTAACGAGGCACACTGCCCGTACTCCTCAAGCAGTGGATTTTTTCCCCCACATTCCTTGTATGGAGTAAACCTCCTTACTTCTCATTGCTAATTGTAGACTATGTGTGTTATCTAATGCTGTGTAAAAAACCACCCCAAAACTCAATGGCTTATAGCCACAATAATTATTTAGTATCTCTTATAGTTTCTGTGAGTCAAGAATTTGGGAGTATACTTGGCTATGGGTTTCTTATATTAGATTTTTCCTTCTAATAATATACCCTTTCTGGTGTAGTGTATTTTTCATATGTGCTGTACCCCTTTCAATCTAATGTTAAGTAATATTTTTTCCAGTCCAAGTTTTCTTTAGATTGTCACTGAGGGAAGACCTCTCTGCCTATTTTCAGGAACAAGCTTTTTTCCTGGCAGCCTAAGGTAAATTGCAGAGCAGTGATAATCCAATAATTATACCTTTCATTACAAATCAATTGTTTTTTGGATTCTTTTCATATTCTGCACCATGTTGACTTTCATCTCTTTTTCTTCCAGTGTTACAAATCTGTTTGTAGGTATTTGGTTAGGATATTAGAAGAAGTTTAAAAATTGCTAGTCACTTATTTTAAGTTGTAAGATATTCTCTATTTTGGTTTTGGAGAGTATATCCTACTGGAAGCTCAGTTTTTAAATTTTTGTTTCATATTTCATTAAATCTTCCTCTCATCCTTATGTCATGCTTCTTTATTAGGTTTAAATCTCTTCTCAAATAGCACACCCTCAGAAAAAGACTTCTGTGTTAATTAGAACAGAGTTATTTAACTACTGTGCCATGGATGTTTTATGGGTATGCCTGAGGTATTGTTTCCCTTGTTCCCTGGGGTTTGCCTGTGACCACATCATCGTCATCTGTTTATTCTAGTGTGACATACAAATTTTGCTATATTCCAAGAGTGCTGAGCTATAAAAAGTTTGACAAGCATTAAGATGAAGATTTAAATGTAAAATAGTTTTAGGACCAAAGTAACAGTGACTTAAAAAAGACACAGGGACATTTATATTTCAATCCAGAGGTCAACAAGTACAGCTGCTCTAGAAGCTCTGTACAAAAAAGTCTTATAGGAACCAAAGGGTTTTCTATTTTGTTGCTCTACTCTCTACTGCTCTTGTTTTCATGGTCTTAGTTCACTTGGTACCATGAACACATTCCAGACAGAAAAGAAATGAAGCAGGTAGAGGTAGAAAGTGTGGGTGAAAGAACATACACCCCCCCATCCCTTTTAAGTACATGACCTGGAATTTACACATATGGTTTCTGCCCACATTCAATTGGCCACAACCCAGTCTTGTAGCTATCCTAGTAGTTGCATAGAAATCTGAGATTTGCAGCCTTTAATCTCAACAGTTGAGTTCTCTGTTACTACAAGGAACAAGGAGAGAATGGATGGGTAAAGGGAATAGTAGCTGTTTTATTGGTTAGTAATGAACCAGTTTGAATATAATAGCACAACCCCATCTCTCTAGCTCTTTACTTTTTACAGCGAGATCTGTATTTCTCTTTTTATTTGTCAGAAAAAAAAAAATACTTATCGTAACCCTTTCACTTTGCAATAATCATGTCTCAGTTAAATCATAAAAGCTTCAATAAAACCCAAACCACTCTTTGAAGTCATCTTGGAAATAGAAGTAGCCCAGAGTCCCTAGGACCTGGATAGGCTACAATGGCTCTATGAGTCCTATCCAATTGTAAGTAAAATTGTTTGTTAATATACATTTATATAGCTTGGTGGTTAAGAGCATGAGTTCTGGAGTCAGATTGCCTGAGTTTAAATTCCAGCTCTGCCTTGTGCTAGATTTGTAAGTAAGGCAGTTGACTTAAGCTGTCTGTCTGCGCTCAGTTTCCCTATCTGGAACATGAGAATAATAGTATACCTACTTCACAGAATTGTTCTAGGAACTGAAGCTAGTTAATACATTTAAAGGACTTACAATAGTGTCTTGATGTTAAGTGCTGTGTAAATACTGGCATTTTTATTGATATATAATATTTGTACATATTTACAGGGTATGTGTGATATTTTGATAAATGCACAGACTGTGTAATGATCAAGACAGAGTATTCAGGATATCCACCACCTCAAGCATTTATCATTTCTGTGTATTGGGAACATTTCAGATCTCTTCTAGCTGTTTTTAAATATACAATATATTCTTGTTAACTATAGCCACCTTACTGTGTTATCGAATATTAAAACTTATTTCTTCAGTCCAATTGTATGTTTGTACCAATTAATCTACCTCTCTTCATCTACCTCTCCCCACAACACACATACCCCTCCCAGCCTCAGGTAACTGTCATTCTACTCCCTATCTGCATGAGATAATATTTTTAGCTCTCACATATGAGTGAGAATGTGTGATATTTGCCTTTCTGTGCCTCACTTATTTCACTTAACACAGTGACTTCCATTTCTACCCATATTGCTGCAAATGCAGGGGATTTTTTTGACCAAATAATACTCTATTGTGTATATATACACACCACATTTTCCTTATCTGTATCTATTCATCTGTTGATAGATACTTAGAATGATTTCATATCTTTGCTACTGTGAATAGTGCTGCAATAAAGATGAGGTTGTAGATATCCTTTTGAGATATTGATTATTTTCCTGTGGACAAATATCCAGTAATGGGATTTCTGGATTGTATGTATGGTAGTTCTGTTTTTGTTTTTTTGAGAAACCTCCATGTTGTTTTTCATATGGCTACATGATTTGCATTTACCTGATGATTAGTGATGTTCAGCATTTTTTTATGTAGCTGTTGGCCATTTGTATGCCAACTTTTTAGAAATGTCTATTCAGATCCTTCGGCTACATTTTAATTGGATTAGTTGTTTTGCTGTTGAGTTGTTTATTTGTATTATAATTTGTATTCCTGCGGGGATGGTCCATATCTTCCATCTGATTATCAGTAGGGTCTATTATAAATTTTAATTTAATACCTGAACATCTGGATAGGCTATGATTGTAACATCTTTCATAGGCTATGATTGTAAAATTTAAACTTGTTCTCTTTCAGTCAAAAGTCATCTGGTCCCTCACGGTACAGAAGTTTACTTACTGGAATCTATCCCAACTGCATTTCCTTATAAAGCACCTTTTTGTTTTTATTTTATTTTACTTTTTATAATATAATAGAAATTAATATTTATGTTTATCTCAACTTGCTTTTAATTATCACTGGTTTTGTTTTTAATAAAATTTTCCAGGTCTTAATTTAAAATATAAATTGCTTTCTTTTCCTTTCCAAAAACCCTGTGGAACTAACAGTTCTACATCAGAAATTTTAACATCACCAAGTTGCTTGTGTAACTCTATTAGTTGAGCAGTAGATATGTGATTAAGTAATGAACATTGATTTTTGTTTTTGTTGTAAAACATAGGTGCATTTGAGCTAAATTGGGTCATAGTTGAAAATACTACAGTCTCTTAATATAAGGAAGAAATAAGAGCCTGTAGAGCTGTTCTTTTTCTGAAGGGGGAACATAGTGGCTTAAAAAAAAAAATCTGATGCTTCAACATTGTTAGAAATGACTTTATATTGTTCTATCATAAATTGCCAAATGTCATATTTAATAAGTCACTTTTAAAAAGTCAGGTCAGCAATAAATTTTCAATATCTCATTACTTACCTCCTATAGTTATAATGAATATCAAGAGTATTTGCATTTTAAATTGCTAAATCTTAGAGAAATTGTTTTGGCAAATTGGTTGGTACCAGACTTGGAACTTAAACACAAAGCAGCTGTGTTGAGCAAATACCACTTTCATAACATTAGTATGCTTTCAATTAACAAACTGGAATGAACTGTTAAACATCACCATTTCCATGTTAAACTACTGTTTTTACTTTCTCGATGACTGATTTGCTTTCTCAGTAGATTATTTATTTTAACTGAAAAAGGAAGAATTTTATTTAAATAATCCGTATTTTTCCCCCATCTGCAGAACGTACTCAGGAAAAGTGGGGATTTCCAATGTGCCACTATTTAAAGGAAGAGAGATGGTGCTGTGGTCGTAATGCCAGAATGTCAGCATGTTTGGTATGGTTATATTTTTTCCTGGAGTAACAGCTTTATCCAGATGTTGTAGAATTTATTGTTTTTGGCTAGTATCATGGACTCAGTGCCAAATTTTGCAGAACATCCTCATTAATGCTTTTGTGCATTGGAAAGTATAAGAAAAAAATGATTTTCCCTTTAAACAATATCCACTCTACATGCAGTGTCATGACAAAATTATATATAATTATTTTAATTATTATATAAAATATAATGTAAAGTGTTCAATACTTTATCCAAAGCTCTGTGGTTTGTGTTTCTTTCTAGTAGATCATTTGGTTTCCTAAATTTTTATAGAATGGGAAAAATATTAAGCTAATTGAGATATGAAGTAACTATCTAATTAAATAAAACATTTATTGTGCTGCATTTGACTAGTGCCCTCAGACCTAGAACACTCTAGCCCGTAATGTTCTCTGTTCATGGCACTATGTCAGTTTACAAAGAAATGTGTTAAATAACATAAGTGATTTTTGTGTTATCAGAAAATTAAAATGCTGCAGTTATGTAGAATTAATAAATTTAGAGATCTGAAGTACAACATAAGGACTATAGTTAATATGGTATTATATACTGGAAATCTTCTGAGAATAGATTTTAGGTGCTCTTACTGCACACACACACAAAATGTAATTATGTGAGATGGTAGATATGTTATTAATAAATTGCTTACCTATTATAATCATTTCACTAGATATAGATGCTGCTCAGCTTATGATGGGGTTGTGTCACAATAAACCCTTCATATGTTGAAATTACAGACAAAAATACACTTAATACACCTAAGTTACCAAATATCATAGCTTAACTTAGCCTACTTTAAATGTGGTCAGAACACTTAAACATTAACCTACAGTTGGGCAAATTCATCTAACACAAAGCCTGTTTTATAGTAAAGTGTTGAATTATAGTAAAATTGAATTATAGTAAAGTGTTAAATCTCATGCAATTTATTGAAAACTATATGGAAAGTGAAAAATTGAATGGTTGTATGAGTAGTCAAAGTATAGTATCTACTGAATGCATATCACTTTTGCACTATTGCAAAGTTGAAAGTTGGGAACTGTTCATATGTATATATAAACATCATGTTGTACACTTTAAATTTATGCAATAAAAAATTTAACAAAGTAAAATAAAGTAAAATACAGTTGATTAAATAATATGTTTAATGTCCAACCGCAAGGTAAACTAATTCTTTCAGGGACCATTATTTCTATGCCTATTACATAGCAACATAAGAAATAGTGTGCCAGTGTTCTAAGTTATATATACTAGAATTATCTTAGAAATGTATTTATGCTAACATAATAACTTCCTTTGGTAGCCCCACTTAAACTACTTTTCTGGAAATTTGTCTTGTTCTCTCACTCTTTAGTAAATGGTACTTGTTCAAGATCTTGTTAGAATGACAGGTTCTTTTTGGGATAACTTAAGTATCAGAATGCTCATAGCCAGTGTTATACCCTTGACGCAAGAAATTGAAATAGTCTTTTTTAAGTGAACCTAGCCTCAGAGAAAAGACCTCAAGATATTGGCATCAGGGATTTCACAATGTAACAAGGTAGATCTATCCCTCTGTGGTGAGAACCACAACTAATAGTCCTCATTCGTAAGCAAAACAGTTTTAATCAGATTTATATTATCCTCATTTTCATTATTAACAGAAAGACAAGAGTCAATACATATCTAAAGGAAGACTAACCAAAAAAATGGAGATATTTAAAGAAAAAGCAACTGGGAAGAAATGTAGACTATCTAGGCCGGGCGCGGTGGCTCAAGCCTGTAATCCCAGCACTTTGGGAGGCCGAGATGGGTGGATCACGAGGTCAGGAGATCGAGACTATCTAAAAGAAAAGAACTATGTAATATCCCTTAGAAAGACGAAAGAATATGTTTTATCCATAAAAAAAAGAATTATTTCTATCAAAATAAACATTCAGAGAACCAAAACGAAGACTTTGGAAAATAAATTCTGTAAATATAGAATTAGCAGACCATGCTGGCTTTACCTTGCTGTGACCAATGTCAGCTGCCCATGGAATGCCATTCTCCTTAGCTCCATCCCAACCCATGTCCACCTTGACTTATTTTTTTGATTCCAAAGTAATGTTGGAAAATCTAAGGAATAATTCTTTTAATATATCTTATTTTATTGCCTTTTACTCCATAACTGACATTTTTGACAAATATTCAAAGCTTAAGTGGTCTTCTTTAAAATAAAAAGAATAGATACTTTTCTGGGAAATGATTTCAGATAAACAGTTAAGAATACCAACCAGACACAAAATATTAATTAAATTAGAGCAATCTCATTAACGTACGTTAAGCCTGATAAAACTTCTAAATTATTCCAGACTAGTATGAAATGACTGGTTGGTATGTTTTCTTCATCCTCTTTGTTCGTTGTTCAAGAATAGTATTAATGTTTGCAAAACACTTTTTAACCACCTACCTGATTATCTTTTATTATGTAATCACAATTTATTATTTCTATTTCTAAATTAAGCTCATCGGCAACACATAACAAAAGCAGTCCTGGCGTATCTGGTATTTTTATCATATACCAAATCACCTCTTTTTAAATACTCTTTTTTTTTTTTTTTTAATTCAGTTTGGCCTTTAGGAAAATTTATAATAAAAATCTAATCTGAAATTAGCACAAAGAGTACCATAAATGAAAACTCATCTGGACCTGTTGCTGTTTAACAGAATATGAAAATTATGTAATAGCTGTCTTCTGTATTCATAACATTCTACTTGGCTGTAGATGTTCAGTGAAAGTATCATTAAAGTAAATGGGAAAATTACATTTTTTTTCTTCAAACCATTTCTGTCAAGCCAGTTTTCATGCAATGAACTCTTTTTCCCACTAACTCCACATGGTGTGAGAGCATGATAAACCAGGATTCTAATAGCAAGTTTTTAGTTCTTGCTCTGTTCTTTGCTAACTAGCTAAGCAACTTGAGAAAAGTTACTTATCTTGTCAGTGATCTTGTGTATCTACAAAAATTGCTCTTATACTTATAAAAAGATAATTGTAAATTATCTTTTCTTTTTAAAAGTGTATGATTAGCTATATGTAAACAGTTTCATTTATGAAAATAAAAAGACCTGAGGCAAATATGGGTATTTTAAATTTGAGTAGCAAGTACATGCACATCTCTTACACATTTATTACTTTTCTGTGTTTGAAATGTTTCCTAATTTAAATTTTTTAAATAAAATTTTAAATTTTAAAAATAAAATATAGTTTAAAAATTATATATATTTGGAAATATATCTAAAAACTCAGTTTCAGAAGACTCTATTCCATATTTAAATTATGATAAATCTTTCATATATTTTGGACTATGAGTATTTATTACAAATGTTGGGAAATATTTTGTAAAAAGTGTTTTGGACTTTAAATAAATATAAATGTAAAAACCAGTATATGTAAAATTGTAAAACTATGTGTTAGTTTCTCTTCTACCTGGCACTTGATCATATGTGAATTTGATTTGAATTTGTAGATCATACAGACCAAAACTACATATAGTTTTCCAAAATAAGTTTTTAATTATAATCTGGATTTTTTTGTTCACTAAAAGATGAAATCATATGTTTATTAAAATTATGAGAAAATATGTTAAAATATGTATCTATGTCTGTATATGTGCATAATAATAGCGTCGGATTTATTTGATTGTTTTAGCTACACTAAAAATGAGCCAAGACTATGTCATTTCATTTCTTTCCTGTTTTCTAATTCCTTCTGAAATTCAAGGACTGTATATAATTAGAATTGACATTCAAGGATATGTGTTTGTGTATATGACACACATCCATTATAAATTAGCTCTAAATTACACAAGCATACTAGTTAACATTCTTTAATGATATTAATACTGTTAAGTGCATAAACTTACATATTATCACATAATTAATCTTTCTAAATGTCAGTTTTACAAACTCTTATACAGTGTGTTTATAAATCTTATAAGATAAGACTCAATATATCAGCAATCTGTCTTGTTTTTTTTTCCCCCCCTTTAAGGCATTGGAGCGGGTTGCAGCTGGCCAAGGGGTAAGTAAGAGTGTTTCACTGATGAACAGGACAGTTTTTCTCTCAAGCACTCTTCATACTTGACCTGCTGATGAACTTAAAACCTAATGGAATTTAATAAATATCTTGTCCCAGATGCATATTCAAATTTGTGCATTTTCTGTAAGTTTACTTTAAAAGCAAAATGAACTTTTCAGAGCTTTCAAGCTTTTAGGAAAATTTCTGTATTATGCTCTTATACTAATTTCTTGGTATTATGCTAAACAGTCTACAAATATTTCTGAAGAATGCTATTGTTGAAAATTGGGCTTTTTTGTGCTTAGTTCAAGCAAAGATAACCTATATTATTCAGTACATTGTTTTAACTGTAGTCCAAAACACATACTTCAGTTGATTGTTTGATAAATTTTTTCTTTACTGACTTGATTAGCCATTAGTTGCAGTAGCCAAATGAATTTGCACTTAGAAATAGAAGTTAAATATAATCCCCCAGATATCCATGTAATTGTCTTATCCTTTACCTTGTATTCAGGATTTTTTAAAGAGTTTTTGGACCCTTCCATAAATTTTTAAAATTTAACCTAATGTTTACAAATCTTTATTTTGCTTTTGTTCAAGGAACATTAATGTGTCAATTTGAATTGTTAAAAATAATAATTTAAAAAATAATTTTAATAACAAGTATCATTTACTGAGTGATTACTCTGGGCCAGGAACATTGTTAAGCATTTTGTATGTAATTATATTTTTAATATATTCACGGTGCCTATCTTAAAATTGATAAAATCTGATTCTTTTGAAGGCATTGGTATTAGAGCATATCATTTGAGTTTGGGAACTTTAAGTGAGTTTGGGACTTTAGTTACAAACTGCTGGTTTGCATCATGTCTTTACCACTTACTAGTTAATGAGCCTGAACACATGTCATAATTTCTCTGTAGCTTAATTTCTTTTTCTGTAAAATAGGGAAGAAATAGGAGTAATAATAATACCTTCCTATAGGGTTGTTAGGATGAAATGAATGAAAAATGTACAATGCTTAAAACAATGTCTAGCACATAGTAAGTGCTCAATAAATGTCAACTGTTGTTGCTGTTATAGATAATTAATAATGATGATCATGAAAATAATAGCTAATTTTGACACAGAGCTTACCAAAGTACTATTTAAAGATCTTCTCATCAATTGAGATAATAAGTACATAGTACTATATAGTATGTACTCTTGTTATGCTATGATACACATGAAGAGACTGTAAGGTAACAAAGACTGAGAGACTTGAATCTCTGAGTCTGGAATTCAAGCTCTTAACTACTATACTACATATCAACTTAACGGTTTTCTAGGGGTCCGGGGAAAAAGAGCTTTTATCCTAATACTCCAATGCATTCGTGTGGTGTTTTTTAATTTTACAAGTATTTGCTCATTCTTACACTCAATCTTATCAGTTGGTTTATCCTAAACCTACATGAAGATGATATATAGCAAAAGTTTAACAGCTTGTTCTAGTTCCCTTAATTAATTGCAGAGCCCGGACTTCCAACTTAGTGCTCTTTCCACTAGACCTGTAAAATGCATGTCTGATACACATGCTTTAAGGGTATACACTTTGTGTTCCCTCCAATTTTAAAAATACATTAAAATGTTAAGTTAATGTATCACTTAAGGGAAATAAAGTAAACTCTGAGCCACATCCAGTTTATTCTTGGAATAGTCAGGCACAGACTGTTCAGGAGATATTGATTCCCTTTCCCCTTACCCATTTGTATTTACCAGGATAGATAGTCCAACTTAATTATTTCAGGAATGCACATTTGAAGGCATTTTATAACCTCTTCCCTTTCTCTTAGGAAACAGCTGTACAGCTCTTACTCAGAGTAACTTGAGAATGATGACTTATTCTGTTCTGCTGTATTTTTCTGTGCATTCCATTATTTATGTTCTTGTTTAAAATGAACTTCATGTTCTTTTGTGTTGTATTTTACAGTGATTTTAATAACAATATAAATACATATTTATTTCAAAGTTACCTTGATACCATTTAATGTAATTTGTTCAAAGGCATGAGGAAGAAGAGATTTTAACTATTTTAAGAGTTTCATATAAAATTAAACTTACCTATTATAGCCAGTCAAACAAAAAGTTAAGAACTTTGTAAGCCATTTATAGTACTAATATTTCAATTCATGCAATACTAGATTTGCCGAAGTGACTTTGAATTTCAATAAAATGTTATAAGAATAGGTATTAATATATGAAAATGTACTTCAGCATTTTTGTGAGATAAATGAAAGGATTTTTAAAGAAGTGGGGTACAAATGACAAAATAGAGATTTTGGTGTTGTAGAAAATAGTTACTCAAGATGAGAAAATCTAAAATGGAAAATATATCTAGAGATTAAGAAATTCTAAATGAAATATTTTGGTATAATTTTTGAGGAAAGTTAAGTTTTGAAATCAATAGTTTTCTTCTCAAGTGAAGGCATTTGTGACAAATTTGGAAAGAGATTTTATAGAAGAATTTTGCCTTTGAAAAGTTACAAATTTTAGTGTGGGTACTCAAACATGTATATGAGTCTACCTTCAGTGAATTATTTTAGTAGTTATTTGGGGACTGTGATATTTGTAACACTATCCCCACTATTCCTACTTTCCAGTAGTAGAACCCGTATTCTTTCTCAATGCTCTAAGAGTCTACAAGTGTGATTTTTCTCTAGTGACTTCGGAGGGCAATGCCATCAGGGGAAGACGTAAGAAAAATGATTGACCCTCAGCTCCCAACTTTTAGTTTTTGTAGTCTCAGCAGCACAGTATGGGAAGTTAATGTTAGATGAGGGAGAGGGGCAGTAAAGTAGGTTTTCTGCCTGAGCGTGAAAAATTTATTTTGCTATAAACTCCATCTGAATTCAAACATATTTGTTCTAGTTGCAAACATATGAAAATAACAGTTTTAGACTCCACAGGATAATAAAAGTTACAAAAGGGTGGCTCCATGGATATATGCAGTTCACTGAATTTTATTTTTAAAACTTTGCCAGTCATTGGACAGTTTTCAGTTTTACCTTATTTGACTTCTTAAAAGCATTCAGTATTGTTGACGTCCTTCTATTCTTACTCATTTTTTAAAAAAATAATAACTGCATGCAAGCTGGGTTGTTGTTGCTGACATTATTTTGTGTTGGATGTTCCTGTACTATCTATATCAAGATCTGTGGGGATGTGCATAGGGTTTTGGTGACTTTTGTAGTTTCTTAGTTCAAGTAATTCTGTTGCTGCAGTGAAATGCTCTTTTATAAATAGTAATGTTTTACCTTCTGCTCTTTTGAAACTATCATACTTCATTGGAGCCCTTCTCTTCAGCTACTGCCTCTTTCCATTCAAAAACCTTTGAACCTTTGGGACATCTCCCATATCTCTTTCTGCAAGAAGTGAAGCATTGCCAAGAGTGCAATCTCTTATCCTTTGTTCTTTCTAAGGCTCTACTTTTCAACTCTGTAGTAACCAATATTGTCTTTCAGACGTCAGACATATCTTTATATTTCTCTACTTAGGGTAGTGTCTTTCTTTGTTGGTGTGACTCCTAGCTGTTATTATCTTTATTCCACCTCCATTAAGACAAATCTACATTCTCTTCCTTTTCACATATATCCTTCCTGACTCTTAAATGCTCCAGAGCTGACTTGGTTGGTCTTGAAAGTATTTCTCATTTTTAACTGATAAGGACTTCATTTGGACATTAGCTTATTGTTCATTGATTGTAACTTTTCTTTCTTATTCACTACTGTTTCTTTTATGATTTCTTTTTTTTTTCCTCAGAATTACTTTCACAATGAGAATTAGCCTCAGGGTAACACTTTCACTTGTAATGGAAAAATTATAAAGTCATCCTCTGTGTTTAGCAACAAAGGTTTCTGACATTCACTTTGGTTCCAACATTCTAGTATTTATTTTATTTCTGTTTTTTTGTTTCTTGTGCTTATATATGTCTACATTTTTTTCAGCTGCCTACTGAATCACTCTTCTATCGTGCTGTTCTTCAGGATATTATTAAAGATTGTTATGGCATCACCAAATGGTATGAGGATTTTATTTTAATAAGAATAACTATGTTATATTGTAAGTAAAGTGACTTTTAGTCTTCAGGTGAATTTATGCAGGGTCACTGTTATTAGTAGAAGCAACTTTGAATTTGGGCATAATGTCAGTAACAAGTATACAACAACTGTATCTTAGGTTAATTATCATTAAAGTGGAGGCTCTAATGATTTCTTCTTGTCCTGAAAGCTTGTTGTAATGATAAAATAGTCTATGTAAAATGTATTTTAGAATTTTTGAAGTATTAAAATGTTAAGTAGTTCAGTGATGATATTATATGAACAAGAGTTATATTTAGAATGTTTCACATCCAGTACAGCGTAAACGCTTAACTCTAATCAGAACAGATATTGATCATAAGCAACTGTTATAGCCCTTCAGGTCTCTGGCAGTAGAATACTAGCACTGCATATGTTTTGTTTTGTTCCTGTTGCCCCTAAATAATGCACTATTTTTACAGAGAAGGGAAGGGTGGGAGAATTTTTTTCATAATATTGGTTCAACAACTGTTGTATTCAAGCATACATTTGTAAGTCTGGCAGGTTTTATGAATGTTGTCTTGCTAATTACAATTTTAGGATTCTGATAGTTATTTGGTATAACAGGATTATTCTACAAATTAAAATAAGGCAATTTTCAGCTTCTCAAAAGTCAATTCATATTTATTAAAAGATATAAAAGGGATTTTTAGATTAGCTATTATTTCTCTGTAAGAAAAAATATCAACTTTTTACTGATAGAAGTTGCTACATACAAGTACCTACACAGACTGTTTTCAACTGTCATTTCTATGTAGATAACTCCCAAATCTGTATCTCAGTCTCCATTCTCTCTCTCCATTTCAACAAAATGTCTAAAACTGAGTTTTTCATGTACTCCTGAAAACTAGTTCCTTCTCTTATGTTTACCCCAAGATGCTAACCTTGTTGGAAAAAAAGCCACAAAATTGTGCAAATTCGTGTCAACTCAAATATTTACTACCTGCCTTCTTTAAAGACCTCAGATCTGTTCATGTGTTTATTTCCTTTATGACTTCTTAAATTTGTTTCTGTTCCTTTCTAAATCTTTCTTCTCATTTAAAAACAACACTTTCCAATGCTTTACATTCCTGCTTTCCTTTAATACTCAGAAGATAGCTCATATTTATTAGAAGACTTTCAATTCCTGAGCCCCATTGACCCTTCAGTCACATTTGACCAAGTCGGTAATTGTTTTTTCTCTAAAATCTCTTCCTCATTATCTTCCATTATTCTATATTCTCTGGGTTTCATTTTTCTACTCTGAACACTCATCTATTTTCTTTACAGTTTCTTAATTATTATTCCATCCCCTAGGTATATCTAGCCATTCTTTAATGTTATATATGCAACTCCTATCTCTTTATATTTCCTTTTTCTCTTAGGATTCTTACCACAAATGACTCTGGAAATATGTAACTAGCTTCCACCTCTTTTTCAGAAGTCGACATCCACTTTCTCATTTTCATCAGAATAACATCAGTTAAGTACCTCACAAATACATCGGTCAGCTACATCCAAAACCAATGTTCTCTTCCCACCAATTCTATTCTTTTCTTCTTTCTCTTGACTTCTATCAAACAGGTGTTATTTCTGGAAATGGCATGACCATTATCAAACATTAGAGCCTAGAAATGATATTTGATTCTACTTTTATCATCAGACCACATAATTAGTTATCAAGATTTGTACATGTTCTTCTTTTTTTAATCCAGCAATTATTTATTGTGTGTCAGACAACATGTTAGGTCCTGAGAATTCTGGATGCATAGGTAATGGTTTCCACACAGGAGCAATTTATATTCTAGTCAGGATGGCTTATGTGAAAACCAAACAGAATGATTGAAGCCTGCTTTCAATGATAGACTAAATAATTAGGAATAACTTACTTCTGAGGAAACAAAACAATGCTGGAGATGTGTGTGCACATGCATGTGTGTGTGTGTTTAAATTTGTTTTTAATTGGTTTGAGAACATCAGAGACCTATTGAAGTAGTTAAGAATTATAGGACAAAAATCAAAGAGGAAATGGGATTTCAAGAGAAGTAAGCCCAGCTTTTATGGCTGCACTTTCCCCAGCTTTTATGGCTGCACTTTTATGACTGCATCTGTCAGTTCTGGAATAGACAACTGTCCACCCATCAGCAGAGAGGGTGAGCACAGCTTTCAACAGAAAGACAGTTCTAGTGAAACAAAAGTTAGAGTTGATGGTCTCGTGAGGACTCAGGAGCAAGCTAAGTAAACCACTCATACTTTGAGTTAGGTCCCTAAAGATTCATACTGTAAGAATAAGAGTGAACTAGAACAGTCCTGAAATGACTAAAGCCCCATTTTGAATTATCTCAAGCTGTGATTAAAGTATTTCAGATTGCTTCTGCTAGCTGCGTACAGGAAATAAATTGCCTCTGGACAAAATGATGTAAATCTAAGCCTCAAATGATCACTAATGTCATCTATATATATAGAGAGAGTACCTTACAAAACCAATCCAAAATAACCAGGTATGTGATGAAACAAGACAACATGACCGAAATCCAAGATAAACTACAGTCAACAGAAATATACCTTTAGGAAAGCCAGAGAAAGACTTAAAATAATTATACTTGAGAGAGTTCAACTCTGGAAATATTGAATAGATGTACTTTTCTCTATTTTTCCTGCTAAGTACAACTAAATCCCCTGAACATTATATATAAAATGAATACAAAAAGACAAAAGGTAAAGAGAATAGAGCAGACTGGCTACGGTTTCTGGACTGAAGGAACAACACAGTATGAGTCCCCCGGGTTTTCTTTTTGTTTCATACAGCCCAGGATTGGAGTTGAAAAAGGTGGTAATCCAGAACCACTGTAGGCACAGAAAAAAAAGAAATTTCAGATGAAAACTGAAAGACCAGGAAGCGGGCAGGCCTAGAAAAACTTTTATGCATAACTGCCATACTGTAGCAAAAAACAAAACAAAACAAATACCTGTGATTCCACTCTCACCTATGCCAACAAAGGCCAAGTAAAGAGCCTACACTTCCATCCTCGCCAGGCTGTAATGAAACTCCCTTATAACCCCTTTGTGGAGTGGTATTAGATAAGGCTGAGTAGGAAACTAGGACTTTTATCCAACAATTAACACAATACCACTACCACAGTGTCATAGAGACCATGTGAGAGGCCTGTACTTCCTACCCACCCAGCCATAATATGACACCCCTCATTTTCCCCACTAGGGTGGTTGGTATCAAGGAAGGCCTAGTAGAGAGTCAGGACTTTCATCATCACTCAGCAGTAACAAGGTAACCCCTATCATGGTATCAGTGGAGATCACATGGGAATATGGAAGTCCCAACAATAACAAAGACCTTTAATAATCAATAGAAGCTGACTTACCTTTACACAAAAACCTGTACAGAAATGTTTATAGCAACTTTATTCCTGGTCACCCAAACTGAAAACTACCCAGATGTCCTTCAGTGAGTGAGTATTTAAGCAAACTGTAATAATCCATACCATGAAATACTAAGCAATAAAACAAAAGTATTGTGGATACACACAACAACCTGAGTGAATCTCCAGAGAATTATACTGAATGAATAGAAGCCAATCCCAAAAGGTTATACACTGTGTGATTCTATTTATATACATTCTTGAAATGACAAAAGTATAGAATGGCAAGATATTAGTGGTTGCTGAGGTAGGAATTGAGGGTGGAGTAGGCAGGAAGTGTATATAGCTGTAAAACAGCAACATGAGTGATCCTTGTGGTGATGGAAGTGTTCTGTATCTTGGCTGCATCCACATCAGTATCCTGAATATTACCGTCATGAGACATTGTGGAAATCCAGATGAAGAGTACACCAATCCTTATTCTTTCCTAAAACTGCATGTGATTTTATAATTATCTTAAAATTAAAAGTTTAATTTAAAGAGCTATGCTCAATATGCACATTGAAATAAAATGTGCATTTTATTTATTTTAAGAGAACCAAAACCTTAAAAAAATCTAAATGAAAATTCTAGAACTGAACAGTAAAATGACTAAAATCAAGAAATCTATGGATAGTCTTAACAGAACTTTAGACACAGCTAAAGAAATAATGAATGAACTGAAAGCAGGTCAGAACAAAGTATCTACAATGAGGCATCAAAAAAAAAAAAAAAAAGGCTAGAGAATAGAAAACAAAGACTAAGACCTATGCAGAATACAGGGAATAGGTTTCACGTACATGTTAACTACAGTCTGAGAAGAAGATGAGACAGTGAATAGGGCAATAGCAATAGTAAGAATTTTTCAATCCTGACAAAAATATATCAATCTTAAGATTTGGGAAGTACACAAATCTTATGGTGAAGTAAAAAGAAAACAAGTTCTAGACACATAAGAGTAAAATTGCTGAAAATAAAGACAAAGGGATAATTCTTAAACCAGCTAGAGGTGAGAGGAGTGAAGGAGGGAAGCAGAATACCCCCAAAGGAACTAAATTAGTCTACCAGTTGAATTCTCAGCATAAACAATGGAAGCCAGAAGTCAGTGATATCTTCAAAGTGCCGAAAGAGACTATCCTACAGCCTACAGAGCCTATTAGAAAATACACTGTTAGAGGAGACAAAAAAAGAGAGAGAGAGAAAGAAAAGAATGAAATATGCCTAGAAAATAGCCTCAAAAGAGTAAATTTAAGTCATGGCATTAGTCCATTTCTATGCGGCTATAAAGGAATAACTAAGGCTGAGTAATTTATAAAGAGAAGAGGTTTATTTGGCTCACAGTTGTGCGGACTATACAAGAAGAATGGCCCCAACATCTCCTTGGCTTATGGAGAGGGCCTCAGCTGCTTTCATTCATGACAGAAGGCAAAGTGTAGACAGCATGTGCAGAAACCGCATGGCAAGAGAAGAAGCAAAAGAGAGGCAAGGTGCCAAGGCTCTTTTTAACAACCAGGTCTTGTGGAATCTAATAGAGCAAGAACTCACTC